TTGGACACCACTGAACATGTCAGGAAAAAGTGCAATATCTGTTGAATGCTTGAACCTAAAGACATCAGTGAGGGCTCTATTGAAAGCTTATACCCAGAGGAATCCATATCTGGACACAGAGTCACTCTATTAGTTATAGAAATTCATATTTCATCAGGAAAATTAAATAAAATGTATATTTTTCATAAAAAGCTATAATAAGACCATATCAAAACAACTGTTACGGGCAAGTTTAAATATATATTTACAATTCACACTAACAACAAAACACTGCAAACTGTATATTTACTGTATAACTGTACATATATTCTTAGCACTATGACACTCGTTTTCTATGAGCCGCTCGTTAGAACAGCCTCTGTTTGAAGAAAGCACACAGATATGCTGCTGTCTCGACTTGTGCAGCCTCCACGACTTCCCCTGTTGTGTATTTTCTCTTTTCTGTACGTGTTGCCATGTTTTTGTGCTCCAAAACTATCCCAAAACAAACAAGATGGAGGACTGACGCATTTCGCACACTTTATGCACCACTTCTCATGAGCTGCTGCGCGCGGCTGCCACAGCCGCCACACACACAAACAATCCCGCCTTTCGACATATCCACGTGTTCGTCTGCTCATTGGCTACAAGTTTACAGCGTCAGAGAGTGTATGCAACCTGACTGGTTGAATCTATAAGGGTGGAACTTGTGCGTACTGGGTTGACTGTCTGAGACACTCCATTGGCTCTTCAGGCTGTCACTCACCCCCAAAGCCCTTGTATTGGCCAAACTAAGTGTCAATCAAAAGCTAATACCTCCGTCTTGCTGACTGTAGGACTTTCAGCGCGATCTAAAATAGATTCAGGCTGATTTCGCCAGAAGAAATGAATAAAACAGCCGGAGCTGATCTCAAGCTGGGACGACATTACTGCAGAATTTGTGCCTTTGAGGATCTAATACGTGTTACGGACCGAATTATTTTACTGGATTATGTTCACTGGTTCTGTCTGGACAGAATGGGACCAAGCTGGTGAGGAATGACCGATGTTTGAGCTGCAGAGAGCCTTCAAAAGTAAGAAAAGTCGAATTTTGATATTTTGCTTTTCTGTACAAAAAGCTCTTTGTGTCAACGCTGTGGTTGCTGCATGTCAAAAAGGTTTATATTATTGGAAAAAGGAGACAGAACTTTCATTTGATGTGTATATTGTCAGGAAACGTGATTGTGGAGCGAGCACATATGGCTGTAATGTTTTTGGAACGTGGTCACGTCGCGCCGGCGGGACGTAGGAATGGTAAGGGGTTTAAAGCTCGTCAGACATTTAAGAGTTTCTCCAATGTTGATATGCCAAAAAAAAAGAAAGGAAATGAAAAAAGAAGACATAATGATTGTTCACGAGTCCCAAAACATGAGTCCGAGTCGAGTCTGAAGTCTTTTGAGCACGAGTGCAAGTCAAGTCTGAAGTCTCTCTGTGTGTGACTTAAGTGCGACTCGAGTCCGAGTCGCAAATTCGAGTCCCAAACTCTGGGTTGAGGAGTTCTTGGGGTTTCCAGAGCCAGAATGTATAGGTTGACAGTAACAGGTGGACTGAGTGTGGGAGAGGGCATCTTTGTATAGCTGCAGATGGTCCTTATAGAGTTGTGAATGAAACATGAGTCCTGTGTTATTGCTGCGCCTTTCTACTTGACGGGTATGGGTTTTCATCTGGCAGAGTTTGGGGGTGTACCAGGGAGCAGAGTGGGTGAAGGAGACTATTTTGGTTTTAACAGGTGCAAGCTGGTCGAGGCAGGAGGAGAGGATGTGGTTGTAAGTAATCTGTGAGGATGGAGGGGATGTGGAGGTCAGGGAAGGGGGATGTGGACATTATTTCCATGATGGAGGATGAAAGAGAGGAGGGGGAGATGGAATTTCATTTACAAAGTTTAATTGTGCGTTTTTCTTTTGGCAGGGGTCTGAGAATGGGTCATGGTGACGGCTAAGTGGTCTGAAAGAGTGAGACTGAAACTGAAGAGTTGATGTACAGAGAGACCAGTGGATCAGACCAGATCCAGGATATGACCACGATTGTGGGTGGAAAAGTCGACATGTTGAATGAGGTTGAAGCACTTGAGTATTTCCATGCAATCAGTGGTTGTTGTGGAGTCTGTAGAGTTCATGTGGATGTTGAAATTGCCGAGGAGAAGGACAGAAGAAGAGAGAGAGCAGAGCTGGGTCAGGAAATCAAAACGGTCAGAGAGGAACGATGGGTTTGGCTTGGGAAGGCGGCAGACCACAGCCATGAATAGCTGTGTAGGTCCGGAGTGTTTGAAAGTCAGGTGTTCGAAGGATTTAATCAACTGTACATTTATATTAGATTTGAAAACATGTAGGTGTAAAGGGACAGTTATATAC